GATTTATGGATGTTTTGAAGCAAACGAGTTGAAATAAGTAGTCTTAGTCGTGTTCTTATATTTCTCGCATCCCACTGGAATATATTCTTCAATAATATTGTTTTTACTTATTTCGTTGAATATTTTAACATCTGTTTTGCCTTGAATTCCCTGACCACTGTGGTGTTCTCATTGATGAGAATGATTTCGAAAATGATTGTATCTCTCTAATTTTGTTGTACACTGTCACTATCGTTACCTCGGCCATAGGAGGGTTTAAACATGGAGAAGAACGCACATCTCTGCGAGTAGTATAATTCCTGGTTGTTGGAACTAAGTGATGCTATAATGCGTTTTTGGATAAATGAAAATTGCACAATCAGCATTGCAAAAAGGACACCGTCATCATTAATCTGTTATCCAACATAAGTGAGACAACGGGAGCTGGGCTAAAGCACACAAACTGATGGACATTAGGGGACTGGTCCAAACTGCTGGCATCAACTAATCCTGTTTCTCTCCGAGCAGATTACCTGTCGAAAATATTTTGCAGCTTCCTCATTTCGTTTACACTCAATCTGAAACCGTTGAGACTTGAATCTGGAGATTCTGAATAGCGAACAACTTTAATCGGTTAAGGTCAGCAAATTATGGCCCCGGAAGACGTGTGTTCCTATTTTATCACAGCTCCCCAACTTAACACATTTTCCATGTATCAGCCCTTTGATTGCCCGCTTCCCCTCATGAAAACTGTTATGATCATGATTATATATGCAGTAAAAAGAATTGCAAAGAACAGAGCTGATATTGAACCAGATGACGACAGCTGCCTGCCATTGAGTTGTGATGTAAGGATTCTTTGTACGTTCGAGAACGGGGCGCGGTAATATGATTCGAGGGACGGAAATGCAACGGGTCAGGAACAGGTTTACGTTCTAATAAAACAAAATTCAATGTGTTTAAATAATGGTCTTTGGTCTGCTAGATCGGTCGATCGAACACAGCAATGGACTGCGATTGTTTGATCCGTGTCTCGATTCATCCACCGTGTCCAGTATGTGCACTCGCCCCACCCACCATGACTTGTACCGAAGACAAGCAGGTCTCCGTGCCAGTTTTCTGTCACCTCGCGCTAGCTAATCCGAGACTAGAATCTCAAATAATTTGGGCCTACTGTTCGGGGTTAGTATTTGTTTTAACGCTTTTCATCACCACACAGGGTAGTGTTTAAATATTTATATATGTGGCGAAAATGACAAATCAGCTCGAGATACCAATGTTCTGCTTCTACTTTGCATTATTAATTATTTGTTTATTTATTTCTTAACTAACTTGTCAAATGCTCACAGGAACTTCTTTATCCACATTGACGAATCATCATTCCGACTTCGTATTTACGGATAATCTCTAGTTCACACAATCAACTAAACGTTCTGGACGCACCTGGATAGAATTCCTCTTTGTTTGGGGCTATTCATTGGTGCACATCTACTTGCCAATGCGGTTTTTTTGCTTGGTACTCTTCGCAAAGTAGACTTGTGTGTGGCTGTGTGTACCATCTTGCTCATACCGAGAACAACCGAAAGTTCCTCGCCGAATTTATTCCTGCTTGCAGGTATTTGGGTGGGTACCTCCGGTTAAACCTGCAAGACTTTGTTTACAACTTCCACTTCTGTATTGTTTCATATCCTAGTAACTCGTATCGACTAAAAGTTTTCCATTATCGGTGTTTACGTAGTTTAACCCAGGTGGGATGTAGCGAACGGGTTAGTAATATGGAAGTAGGCCATCATGTTTGGTTGTTTATCGGGGATAAACTTGCTAGCTCATCGAATTCAGATTAATAGACTTCGCTGGCTAGGACTCGTATTACGTATGCCCAGCAATCTTCTGCCGCACCGCGCTTTATTCGCTGTAGCCGCTCCGGGCCAGAGGAAACCGTGTGGAGGTCAACAGATAACGGGGAGACGAGGCATGAAGAAACGCACAGAGCCTTTAGGTAGGTGTCTCGCACCTTCCATTTTGGGGTCCGAAAGATTCTGCAACTGGTTGGTTGGAGACAGTGAAGGTCATGGCAACGAACTGACAGCGGTTGCAAGCTTTTTGTCATTGTTTTTATCAGGTCAGAATGCCTAAAAAGGTATGTATGCACAGTCAGATTTTGTACCCTGCCCACCTCACATATTCCCATTAACTTTGTATACATTTGGAGTTTGGCAGCGATCAGTGAAGTTTGCTTCACTGTATTTCGCTGTATGGTGATAGCAAACTTCTCCGCTCGATTACTAATCGCAAATTAATCTGATTGGTTAGAAAAACTGGGTGATATAACTGAATGCGGTAAACAAGGGCTTTCACACATTTACTCTAGTTTAGCTGCATTCGGAATTTTTCTATTTTGTTACTGCTCTCAGTGTGTTTGACTCCTGCTGTGTTCAACAGTCAACCTGTTGGTTCACCAGCAAAACCAAACTTATGAAACACAAGTTTAGTGGTTTCCCCTGTGCAGGTCGAAGGTCCGGCTGAGATTCTCTGTTTCACTTTCGAATAACCCATCTAACTAACAGATGGATATTGCGCTGCCTGCCACGACAGATTTTTACCTAGACATCACCGGAGTCCACTTCAATCTGCCAAAGAACAAGTGGACCAATTATCCGTTTCCACTTGGCAAACCGCAAACTGTCGGCCATTAGAGTAAATCTTCAATGAAACGATTTTAAGCGTCTTGGTGACCATCAATCTGGTTTAACCCTCTTGTAGAACAGTTTACCGAGGAATGTTCGCTCTGAGTTACTGTGCAGACTCTCAGAGCCGCAGGCAAGAGCCAAATGTTAAGAGGAATGCCCAAGGGGGACAAGAAAATCCGCCACTCAGCAGTGCTACTTTACTCAATCATTCTGTGTTCATCGTAATAATTTTTGGGCAATAGCGGCTTGTTATCCAGTCAAGTGTTTCTATCAATTATAAGGGATTCGGGGATATGTTTCGGTGACTATTACCTATCGGTTCGGTTGCATCAATCTATTGTGGCTCCGATCGAAGTGTNCAGGTTTATTCTCACGGCCCCCTGATGGTTGTTGGCGCTTGATCTGCAACCAGTGTGACCTTCCCCCGCCTCTTCATGTACACACGGTCCTCCGCGAGTGACTGCTAACTCATTTTTGCCTCCTTCCTTTGACACCGATTTGTTTTTGATCTGTGCAAATCATTTTGCGTCTCCGGCATGATCTCCGTGACTCGGTAATGAGGTTATCCACAGGCCAGATGTTCACTTTCCACCGACGAGGGGAGGGTTATACAAATATTTCTCTACAGCGAAAATGACTTCTCGATTTTGTGTTGCCTCATCAACGCCTCCACAGGGTTGGCTGGGATGATGGTTGTTTGTGATTAGGCCTTCAGTTGTCTGCTTTCCTCTGAGAACTGCAAAACTGCATAATATCCCGTCTCTCTGTTCTCCCTACAGCTTACAGCAACCATATCTTTAAATGCGCCACCAGTAGTATCTGGTTCTAGCCTAAATGTTCCTCTCTTTCTCATGAACAGTTTACACTCAGATTATGAATTTTTCCTTTTCATATCGTATTCACATTATGTATGTGATGAAAGAAAATCACTCCCCCCCCCCCNTCGACTTTATCTCCGCTCTGCACAATACCACACTAATCCTGTTGCTGTTTCAACTAACCTGTTAGGATTTAAACCGTACACTAAGCTAAGTAGAACATAAACCTTTGGTGCGAGTTCAAAACCCGGACGGGACGGGACGGGTGAATAGGCACTACTGATGAGCTCAAATTAGAGTGACACTGGAATCCAGTTCTTCCCGAATGTACGGTTGCCTTGATAAACCAACAATTGTGCGTGAAGGTGCAGTCTGAAAGATAGTCAGTCCAAATCAATGATTAAAATAAGTTATCTTGTTGACACTTGATTCAGTTTTTTCTCTACTTGTGAAAGCAAAGGTTTTTTCCATTCAAATTAAATTTTGTTTTTCGTGAATACTTTCTACTTTGAGTATCCTTAACTTTGCTGGTTGCAGTGTTCCAATCGCATGTGCTTCATCACACCCCGCACCCATCATTTGCTATGCCCACTAGCTTTCCGTGATGGGAGATCCATCTCTATCATTCTGTTTCGTGGCGATAGACTGAACAGTAGGTCAGTAGGTTAAACACCAGAGAAAAGTTACATAGGTAGTAATAGAAAGGCTACTCATCTTGCAAGCTACTCCGCAAACAAGGATCACTCATGTATGCCCGAATTTGACCAACCAGTAATACAGACCACTAGACTGCTCTTCAAGTACAAGCCTTGATTTCATACTGTTTCATAATTGCCCCGTTTGAATTGATCCCAACTGTTATAGTCGTCATCACGGATGTGTTCTGAGGTACTAGGTTCGAAACCTCCCACTGTCACTTAACTGTCGACGGTAGTCGGCTTTATCATTTTCTGTTTCAACACCACACTTCTAGTTCGCTATTCCAAGTTCCCGGATTTACCCCACCTGATCCCATAACCGAACAGTGGATTCTCTTAGTAGTTACATTTTCTACCGTTCATTAGACTCGGATATGCGATAAAAAATTGCCTGATGGAACGATTAATTTCAGTGAAATTTGCTAACTATTTAGATTTATGACGCTCCTCACATCCTCCAATTTATCCATCTGGTCGCTAATGTTGTACACCTCCCAGTACACCTATCAATTTAGTATACTCTTATTACTCACTGTATTGCCAAAATGAATCTGTTCAGCATAAAGTATCTTCTATCTAGGATGAGTTGGTCATGCATTGGTTTCATCAATTCGCATTTCAGGAATGTGTAATTTAATGATAGTTAGCATATGGATTCCTTTTGTATGGGTGTACAATTGGTAAATAAATGAACCAAAATTTTCTAGGATCGACTGTGATAATCCTTCTCTATTATATGATTTTATATTCAGCATGATCTCTCATCAGAACCATTCGTTTATCGATTTTATCATCTGTTCCTTGTCTTCTTGCAGATTTTTGCTCAATATCTACGTCGAGCTACTCTTCAACTTTTCCCCGATGCACACAATGTACATCTAAGTCAACGTATCGGTTTAATTTGGCGTCAGTTAGACAGTGACTTGCGGGAACTGTATGCGACCGAAGCGAATCGTCTCCAACGTCTACACGCGATCGAATTTCCGGACTACAAATATCAGCCGAAAAAACGCATTCGCGATGCCGATCCGGATGCAGGTGGTAGTGCTGCTGCTGCTGCTGCTGCTGCTGCTGTCCCGTCTACCGGAACAGCAGTGGTGAGNGTGGTGAGTACGAATTCGACCATCACAACCTCGAGAAGCAGTACGAATTTTGGAAATCAGACAAATTTTGTCTCCACGGAACTCATCAGTTCACCCTCGATCCCGGTCAATTTGGGTTCCACGTCCGAATGGAATGACATCGGCTACGATAGCCCAGACGGGCCTACTTCGTTTGTTGAGCATTATGCTGAAACTCAACAAGTCGCGTCACTGGCGAACATGCGGTACAAACTTTCGCGATCCGCATCTGTCACACCACAGCTAGTCAATATAAATAGACCACGTGTGGCCTATGTGGTACATTCTACCGATCTAGTAAACAATACTAATGTGCCATATATCCCTAATACTTTGTTGTGTATGACGGATACGGATTATGTTACCAACTATCAAGAAAACTTTGATCCGTGCCCTGGGAACCCAGTTGTGGACTTACCAATGGTCCCGACGAAGCAAGCGAACGAAACTTTAACCGCACTGGTGTCTGAGAATCAACTGAAAGTTGAGCCCGATTCTGAACCCCGTCGATCGTCCTCCTTTCTTAGTGTCTTGCCCAGTCCGATCGAGACGGGTCCACAGTCCGTTACTGAGTGGACACAGGAGAAACCTCGACCGAAGGCTTTGGAAGATTTGCTCAATGCCCCATCTCTCTTCCAACCGGATACGAACAATCTGAGAACTCTTCAGCTGGAACCACTCACTGTGGTGACTCATGTCTCTCCCGGACTGAACACAGTGCTTGAATCAAGTGAACTGAGTCATTCCAAACTGAAACAGGAAGACTGTGATCCGCCAATGCACAGCGATCCAAATCCACTCCCCGGATCATTGACCTCGTCACTGTCCACCATTTCTCCTGACTCTTCACTTGGACAACAAGACTCAGTATCTTTAGCCTGTGGCACCTACTGGGATCCACAGAAACGTTCAGATTCAACCACTGCCGTGGTTTTACTCCCCACGAAACCGATGTCGTCACATTTGTCCGCAAAAGACAGCACTCGTACTGCGCAATACTGTCCGAACATCACGTGGAATAGTTCAGAAGCGATGAATGCATTGGGTGATATTGCCATGTTGATTGAGAATGGACTGCATGACTCCCGAGGAAACACAAACAAGGCGGCACGAATTGTACCGTGTTCTGTTTCTCCGTCGCCAATTGTGTTGAAGAGTGAAGAGGTTACTGGTGATAGTCAGACGGAATTTGAGAATATCGACACTTGTGGGACAAGTCCATCTCTGGATGATCTAGGTCAACTCATTCTGTTCGGCGGTCATTCGCAGCAGTCCATCAATCCGGGCGGATCACCGTACCGCACGAAATCGCGAGAATCAATTGCGAATGATGAGGAAGGGGAGCACACTGCGCGAGAATCAACTGTGGTGAACACCTCAAATGAAACACGATGTTTACCGAGCATTAGCTCCTGGACATTTGGTGGTACTTTGAGTCGATAGGTCTCCCTCGTCCTTGTTCCCTCCCGACCGGGTTTTTCTACTATTTATGACCGGGATGAGGAGGTGGATCGACGCGCGTTCAATCTCATCGTCCGGGTAGCATCAACGCGAACTGACCTATTGACGCGCACTACCGAAGTTTGCAAAAACACAATTGTGGTGTTGCATCTCTTTCACCGATACAGTACGTATGCGTGCGTGCGTTCGTGTGTGTACGTTGACATGCACGAAATTGGTTACAAGTGAGAGACACTTGAACTTATTTTGCTCATTGTAACCCCCACCCAATTACTCAATCCATTTCGACTGAAAAACACTTCTTATTTTTTATTTTTGACATGCAACAACAACGACACTGAACTTCCTCGTTCTCAGCCAATAATGCATTTGATTCCCATTTGCCTCTGCCTCATTTCCTAACCTACACATCATATGAGAATGATTTTTTCTACTCTGGTCTGTCGTGCTATTTCAATAATGATAATATAATTCTCTGCGATTTCGGTTAACTTTCAGGTCCACTCTGTCTGTGTTCATCTGTCTGTACGGGGAGGGGGGGAGGGGCAATGAAAACCGAATTAGACCCGAAAGTTATCACTGAGGATGAAACTTTGTGAGGTATCAATGACTTGACTAATTAGGTTAGACGGTGTGGCGATGCGATCGATGGGTGTACATGATTTAGTATTCATTCAAATGGTGAACATTAAAGGATGCCCATCGAAAAAGAAGAGCCACAGAGAAACGTCCACAGTGGCTCGGTTGTTTCATTTAGGCTTGCATAGGGTCCGGCAGGTAGCCCAATATGCTAAATCGTTCTGTCAGAAGTGGATGGATCCAGATCAAGAGATTCCATAGTGCGACGATCAGACTCTAGGCTTTTCGTTCATTCGTAGATCACGAACCTTTTTCTTTGTTATAAAAATTTTTGTACCGTGATTTGATTGATACAAGCTGAACTCAGACGCGTGTGAAATGCAACATGTATGAAGTTCGGATGTGCCCAGGAAAGAAGCGGGGGGGGGGGGGNACGTTGTGCATCGGGCCGGCACGAGAACCTAATCTAACCTCAAGAACTTACATACCTGGCCTTTCTGAATTACCGATTATTCCGTCGGACTAAATTCTAGTGACTTGTCGCAACAGATGACGAGCAGGGTGATGTTTGAACTACGCTTATCATTGGAAGTCATTAGAGGGATGCTAATCCAACAAGTCCCTTTGCCCACACATGGTGCTCTAATCAAGCGATCGATCGTTTCCTTAAATCTGCCCCTTTTTCTAGTTGTTTGAAATTTTCACCCTTTTCTAATTCGCCAGATATCCGTGGCTCACTGATTTGGTTGTTAGCTTCCAGCCCCTCTCTGACTACTGAAAAATCATCATAAATTTTCCAGCGGATGTCTGAACGGAAGACGCATTTCCTGGGACGAAAGCGAGCGTCATCACTCCACGAGAAGGTCGGGGGTTTTTATAAATTAGCAGCTGATAGGGTAGATCAATTCGATTCGACCAATTAAGGCGTTGTTTGAGAAACATTCGTCTAACGAGCATCAGAAGCAACGTACATGATCTCGTTATTTGAATGGGAGTACAAGACAAATTCATTCTTAACAATGGTCTGAAGAAAAGTAATTAGTTAATAAGATGATAATCAAACGCGATTTTTTCAGACAATCGCAACGCAAATAATTTTTCACACTATTTTCATGAACACCCACTTTCGCCCAGAGATCATCAGGTTTCATGCAATCTCGGATGGATCGTCTTAAGAGTTTATGAGAAAACTAAACGAGCTATGACAATCAGGAGCACAAATCGATATTCAAAGAGAGATGACTATTTGCCTGGCTATCGAGTCTGAGAGAACCGAAGCTGTAATTCGTAAATGGCAGTTTAACGGTGTGTTGTCCCGTGAAGTTGATTCAGCGAGTAACATTGCAGTATTGTTCCATGCTTGGGTTGAAATCCCATCGAGGCTGCTGAATCTTTCACATTCAGAACATTCCACTTCAGTCTGCAAAAACACCTACCTTCAAATACAGTATTATATCTATTCAACTGTGAAACATGCCTTTGAATGACCCTGGTAAATGCAGTTCAGGAACATACTTATGAGGCAGTTAGGGTTGAGCGAGGCATTCAAAACCTTTGGCAAGTTTCAAAATGAATACACCTTGGCCTGCACAGGCCATGCATATAGGACAGGTTTATTAACCGATAAATCATGAGAACGGTCGTAAACATAAAGCGTTTAACTCTTGTTTTCAGCATCATCGAAAAGGAGGGCAACAACGGAGACAGAATGAGTGTGAGCAAGATGGAAACTGAGCGAGAGTAGAATACCCTGAGGGATGAAGCTCTTTGATCCTGCTTGAAAAGAAACAATAAAATCTACCATTGTTCCAGATTTATGACTATGGAGTTTCGAAACCATATGCAGCGGACTTCAGTTAATCCCGAGTTCAGTTTTGTATGAGTTAAAATTTTGTCCACACTGGGATTTCGTTTTAGCCGTTCTTTAAAAAACGCACTGTTCTTCCTCTTCTACCGCAGTCCACAGAGCGACCAAAAAGCTTCCATCTTGTGTAGCACTGATCGAGTAACAATCAAACAAACGTGTGTATGTGTGTGGGCGAGATTCATGACTAGATAAAAAACCCACCGATGTGAGGGGCTGTTCGGTTAGTGGCTTTGGTGACAGTAATGCCGGACATCGATAGGTCAACTGTCTCGACCCGAATGATCGATTCAGACCACAGCTATGTTGCACACGAATTGTTTGTTGTTTCGATGTTGATCTCACGAAGGAGAGAAGATTTGGGCAATACTAGCATTGACCGTTTAAGATGTTTGTCGATATAGCTCTGTAGTCTGGTTATCCAGGCTTGTTTTCACATATAGGTTGTTACAGGTGGAGTCCACAAAGTATGATTAATTATTTCACAGGTGTGAGCCCAGACCGTGTGCCGAACAAATCATGGACAACCAGCTTCATAACAATGAAATCAGTCCGTCGGAGGAATACTGACAGGTTACCCAGGCCAAAGCAGGTGAATTTTCTTGAGATATTCACAACTGGCGCCTTCAACTAGTCAAAGCCTAACCCACAAGGCAGTGAGGCAGTATGAGAGAAAGGCCATCTATTGGGGGCTGCTATTCAGTTCACCAGATCAACTTTCACTTTGAACATGATGAGAATGGCAGGCTGCCAGAGACACCTCAATCAAGTCGGAAGGTGGGGTGTAATTTGTTCTTGGTTGGTTTAAATTGGTGAATTACAGTCAACTAATTCAAATAAACTACCGGTGGTTCACCGACCCGGATTTTTGATTTCCGTCTTCTCACTTCGATTGGAAAGCATCTCTGTCACGTGAGGATAGTGAATGAGTAGAGACTATTTGAGACGCTGGGTCGCATAGAAGCAACTTTTAGGTTACAATGGTGAGATGTTAAAGCTTTCAGAGTCGTGTTACTATTTTCTTCCAACTGAATACTCTAGTCAGATGCTGAAATCCGTTCAGTTTAGCGACTTTCATGGTTGCGGACATGAAAAAATGACCCCGTTTTCTTCTATTAGTTTTGCTATGGGACCTTCTTCCGCGTCTTCTCACGATTTAGCCATGGTCAGCTTACTGCCAACCCGAAGATTTCGTTCGGCTTCCTCCTTCAGTTGCAATATTTTCACAATTGGTCAAGTGGTCTGACAAGGTTCGTCATAACATTCGCATAATAACCCCATCACTCCAACTATAGTATTCTTCTCTGGCAAAACCAATGCCCACCGAATGTGTGCACAGATGTTAGACTGACGAGCTGGGCAGTAATTCTCAGGTGAACAAACAGATCACATCCACACGAGTGATTCGAATCCAAAGTATATTGTGCTCAGCCCGCTTCGAACACCGAGAGCTTAGGTCTGTGAGATGCTCATCTCAACAAAAATCGCGCCGCACATCTGTTCTAATCGTATTTTATACATTCAGCTCTGTCTAACGAGGTGGGAATAAGTGATCATACTGGCATCGATCTACCAATGAAGGAGATTGATGTTGTGAGAGTGGACGTTATCAGTGAGCTTCAGCTTAGTGACAATCTATTGTGTCGGAAACAGTGTTCATCCCTTCCCTAAGATGAATCCGGAAAATCGACATCACAATTCAATGGATTGGAAACTATCGATTCAGGGTGAGAACTAAAGTGCATGATCTAATAAGTAATTTGATTACTGATCACGTTGCATCCAGATGTTGTAGGTTTCTAATTATAGACGAGTATCTCCTCGTATTGATACATGAGTGATTCAGTCCACGTTGCACATGCACATAACTTCAAACGCTAACTATAGAAGTAGCATCAGTGAGCATGGTTCAGCGCAGGGGGTGGGGGACGGAAATTATCGGAATTTTCTCAGTTGATCCGGTCATTAAAATGTGGGTCTGGTAAGGAACACCGTGGCCTCGAAAATACATTAAGTGGTAATTAGTAGTGGAGTGAATATATTCATATTCACATTCCATTGTTGATAGTTATCTCCTAATGCAATTTCATGAGGTTGGGTTGTTCACAACTGCACGTATGTGAGTGATCTATCTTGTTGATAGAAACTGCCATTCACAGTCCGAAATGCATTGAAACTATTTCCTTTCGTCAAGGTAACTGGCAATTAGTGTCTGATGTATGCTAAATTTAGTCAGCGCCATCCCATATCCCGTGTCTGATACACCTCTCTCTACTTCTGTCGCTTGATTACCACCTACGCTTTTCCATAGCTATTCCTTCTACACACACACACACACACACACACTTCCGTGTACGGCCCTCGATCCAGACCATCTCTCTATACATTCGGTCCAGCAGGTTGTATGCGGGTTTTAAAAACAACACTCTTCCTAGGAACGAAATTTTGCTTTTGTCAATATGATAACTTTTTTCCAACCCCTTGTTTTGTGCGCTTATTTGTATGGCACATGGTCATCAGTAAGACATGCATGCCCCAA